CTCTCTTAAAGAGATTTTCCCCTCTCTTTTAAAGAGATTTTTTTTCCCCCCTCTCTCCTCCTTTTAAAATGGATTTCCAGGCTCTGCCCGGCACACAATGGTTCCCCAAAGTGTTGGAAATGTTTGGAGCAGCCCAAGATTAACATAATTAACATAATTACGCAACATAATTAACCCCAGAGGCCCCCCCCACACACACTTTAACTGTGTCCCGTGTCAGGAATTGCTGCTGGGAGGGGGCGAAGCCCCAGGAAGTGACCCCAGAAAGTTCCTCTGCACTGTCTTGGGTCAAATACATAAATATATCAATATATTTCATATTGTTTGCCAGGGGAGCTCCCCCAGGCTCGTCTGCAGTGACCACACTCGAGACTGTAATGACAGAGAATATCAAAGAATGGTGGAAAAATGGGGGTTTTACAGCCAGGGGAGGTTCATTGGGATGGTTTGGGATGTGATGGAACAGCCCCCAGCCCAGGCAGCAGGACAGGGATCCCGGGAGCATTCCCCTCCCACTGATTCCAAACCCCCTCCCACTGATCCCAATCCCCTTCTCACCCATTCCAAATTTTCCAAGACCCTTCCACCTCCTCCCTACCCCAACTTTTCCAAACTCCCTCCCCCTTTCCCACTCCCTCATCCACCTCTTCCAAAAAACCCCCTTCCACCTCTTCCACCGAGAGAAGGGAATGGGGGGAAAAAAAATGAGATAAAATCACGAGGATTTCTTTAAAAAGGTTGTTCCTGGCAGGAAAAAGAGATGGGAATCAGTGATGCCAGAGACTTTTTCTGGGAATCACCCGGATCGAAGGGCACAGAGCAGGTACAGCCCAGGCAGCCCCTACTTCCAGCTGGGAATAAATCATATCTATTACATAAATAACTAAACAAACAAGGATGTTCCCAAATATCCGGGCTGTTCCAAGGGGTAAGCCATTCCCGAAATTCCCACTTCTGCAGCAAAGGAATTGACAGCGGGAACAGGGAGCGGCATCAGCTCGGCTCAGCTCCACCTTGTGTTTGAGGAGCACGGGGAATCGAGGATCACACGGGAATTGTGGAGCTTTGGGGCTGGTTCTGCCTTTCATCCCAGGGAAGGGCACGGCTCGGGGTGGGGGATCCCGGGATTTGAGCAGCAGAGGAGAGCGGTGCCATCAATCCGCGGGGGCAGGCGAGTGGATCGCACTGAGATCCCACAAAACCCACTGAAATCCCGGGATTTCAGGGCATGGCATGGGTCACCCTGTCCAGAATTCCCTCGGCAGCTCCACTGCCCTCTGAGCACAGGAAAAGTCCCCAAAATCCCAAAATTCCCCACCTATCCGCACTCAGAACCAGCCCCGTGTCTGCCCAGGATGCCGCTTCCCGCCGGGAAGAGGATCCCAAAAATCCACCTTCCAGACCCTCCCTCCCTCCAAAGTTGGGATGAGCCAGGCCAGGAACACGACCCTGGTGCAACTCAGGCAGCGTTTTTCCAGCAGGGATGTGCAGGACATGGATTTATCCAGCCCATCCCACTGCCAAGGGATGCTGCAGGAACCACCTGCTCCTGCCTCCGCTGCTGCTGCGGGGAAAAGGCACAAAGAGAGGGAAAACCCTCCCAGAATTCCAGTTAAACCCTGGAAATGAATGATTTGATGCTGCTTTTTCCAGCTGTGAGGTCCAGCTCACCCGGCTGCTCCAGGAACAGGATCCAGGTGGGATTTAAGGAGGTTTTTGAGCCATTTTTTTGCCATGGTGGAGGCAAAATCCCGATTCAAATCATAATTAAAAACCCCAAAAGCCCACTTTGCTGGCTGGCTGTGACATCCACTCCCACCTTTTCCCACATCTCTCCTCATTCACTTCCCAGTAATTCCCTCACAAACCCATCCAGCCACAGGAAATCTGCTCTTTTTGGGGAGCCCAAAACCCAAACACCAACAAACCCCTCCCTCAGCACCACCTGGAAAATCACAGAAGGGAAAGAAAAGAGGGGAAACCCCCCAAAATTCCCAGTTCCAGAGGAGGGTCAGACACATTCCAGGCCTCCCAGTGAGTATTTTCTACGGATCTGATCCCAACTTTGCTCCCAACAAGTGGCTTTTTTTTTTTTCCCCTCCCCTATAAACTCCAGAAGCACGAAGGCAGAAGGGAAATAACCTGGAAAAAGTCCTTAAAATTGATGTAGAAATGAATAAATTGTGTGTCTGGGGGTGCCCTTGGAGGGCCACGTGCATCCCCGTGTCCGTGGGGAACAACAATCCACGGAAAACACGACCCGGGGACAAACCCGCACGCAAAGTTCGCGACCTCGTCACGCAGATATTTGAAAAAAAAAAAAAAATAAACTTGAAGGCGCAGAATTAAGGACCAATTTGGGTTTCCTGGACGCTGGAGCAACGCGAGGGCGGCGGGACAACGCCAGAGGTGGGAAAAGCGGGTTATCCCACGCCGGGATCCACCTGGAGAACCGCAAATCCCCGTTTTCCCGGGCGAGGGGAGCAGGGGCAGCGGGGCAGGAAGGGGCGGGGGGGGGGTCCCCTGGGGCGGCTCAGGCGCTGGCTGGGGCTCAGGATCCCTGGAAAACAGGAGCCCTGGGAGCGCTGGAGCTCGGGCAGGCAGGGGATCCCTGCTCCCGGCGGGAATGCCGGCCCGGCCCGGCCCTCCAAGGGTTAAGTGCTGCCATTTCGGTGCCATTCCCGATATGTCCATTAAGGGTGTTACATAACAAAATGGCAGCGCTTAACCCTTCCCTGGCCGGGCTCCCCTTCTGCTTCCCAACTGTGTCCCG